CTCAAAATGTGAATAATTCCTGCTATCATGACAGTGGAAAGAAAGGCCTGGGTTTTTTTTTACATTCATAATAAGGTTGCAGAATAGTATAGAAAAACTTTCATAAATTTCATAGCTGGATTCATTCTGCTCTCAGTAGTAGTTTTCTTCAGACTGGACAATACCTTAATTAATTTAGGCTGCAGTTTTTTCCTCTTTTTTAAAGGAAAAAATCTAGGGAATTGCCTAGTCCCCACATAACTTTTCTGCTGAATGTATTATCTGGTTTCATTTAATTTTTCTGTTAAGTAATAGCACATTTAATTTTTTAAATTAAATTTTGCCTTGCACCAGGTGCCAGCYCTTTACTGGTGTAAAGGCTGCTTACTGAGAAGGAAATTTCAGTGAGTTCGCATTTTTATAAATCATAGCAAAATCTGGCTCTAACACATTATGATTTAAATTTATGTGATCATTTCAGCATTTTCACTTGGGAACAGTTTCCAATAAAAATGCCTAAAGAAATAGGTACTTTTAATTCCCAGACATCAATAGGAACCCTGAGGTTAGCGTATGGTTCAGGCTGCTCCCTGCTTAGTTCAGTGTGGGCATTTCCCATGCCACCTGTGTCAGCTTTTAGTTTTCTGGTCTGCGTAGCTAAAGAGGCTGTACACAGGTTGAGTAGTCAGTGACATTATTAARGTTTGCTGGTCCTCTACTCCTTTGGTTTGCAGCCTACAGGCTACTCTAAATGCAAAATTTGGCTTTCGTCTAAAAATATTTTTGAGTATTTTGATCTTTTCTACATCTTGACTCCTGAGAAAACAAAAATAATCTTTAACATTTAGATTATTTTTATGTTACATCATTTCTCATGTTGGGAATATTTCTTTAAATCTCTTAATTTGCACTTTCTCAAGTGCAATCTTTCACTATTCAGTTCTAATAACATTGCAGTGCTCATCACAGTGATCTGTGTAACCCTTCCTGACAACTGAGTGGATCCATAGAGTTTAGCTGCTGTTCAAATATTTATGCAACATGATGATATTTAGTGAATGAGTAACCCTTTTTAATGGTAACTCAGTGCTCACTGTATATCTTATTTTTAATAAAAAGTTCATTACATTAAATCTTTCTTCCAGATACTGTAGACTTGCCCTCAGGCTTTCGTTTCTATGTTTGTTATCAGTAGTTTTCAGAATGTTGTGTTTGTTTTCTCATGTAGCATGGTTGGAATAAAAAAAAATCCCCTGCTTGCAAATGAAGAACATGAGTTGGAAGACAACAGCATATGTTTAGATTGCAGGCTATAGGGTAGGGTAAGAATACACAAGATATCTCTAAAAATGGTTTGACAGCAGGTTTTCTATCAGTAACATGACTTGATACTTGATTCAACTTAACCAGCAGAACTGAGATCGCTCAGTACATTCAGTACTGGGAGGTCTTTTCCTGGGATAGTCAAATACTTAGTATATTTTGGGCACATGACAGATTATCCCACAGATGTCAGACTAGTAATGGAATTAAAATTCTGTTTTCTTATTGATTTTAAAATGTGATACATTAAATAGAATTCAAGTGATGCTTGAAAGAAAAAGTAAACTATGATACCGAACTTAGCTTTATTAATGGCAGTTTAATTAAGATTCTTATCTTGTTTCTAATTAGAAAGTCAATGATTTTCCTACTTGAGAATAAACGCTTTAAAATATTAATGGAAAAATACAATGAAGTTGGTAATTTAAAAAAAGAGAGAGGTGTTCTTTTACTGCTGTGTTTTTTTCTTTTTTTTTCATTAACAAGAATGTTTCAACAAGTTTTCAGCATTGTTTTCTCTTGAGAAAATATTGATCCACTGAAAGCAAATGTGCTGTGCATTCATATTTGATGACAGACACTATACCTAACAAAATACATAAACAATTTGCCATTATTTTTTTCATATCATTGTTGGAATGGTTTGTAACCTTATGTGTTCTGAACGTGAACTACTGCCTTATTACACAATTCAACATTATGGAAACAACATGCCTGGTGATATGCTAGAGATTTGCGTCATTAGCTACAGAACAGAACTGCTGATGAGGTGGATGGTTGAATTAATTAAGAACAAATATCAACTGAATATCATTTTAGACACCGAGTTTTTCTGATTGTGTTCTATTCTGACCTCAAAAGGCACTGCAAAAAGTTATYTCAATAATTCATTTTTTAAATACTTGCTTGATAGTTGGATTAAAACCTAGAAGTAAGCAATGTAATTTTATGGATGAGAAAAGTACAAGTTTTATTTTATTTTATTTTAAAAAAATCTTGTTTCTAATATTATCAGAAACTAGACTTTGTGTTTTGATAGATTCTTTTGGACACTGATTAAATACAAGATTTTTTTCAAGTTATTTTCCTTTGGAAGTTCTGAAGCCTACAGATGTATTTATTACCTTGTCCATAGCATAATTTTCTCAGTTTTACTTAGCTATTTTCAATCTTTTAGAAGTACATTCTGTAGCCAAGCCATTCTTCTACTGATAAAAACAAAGTGAAAAAAAAAAACAATAAAATCAATTAATATTGTGGGTTCATCCAGCCTCCATAATTGAAGAAATTGAAGTAAATCTGTATTCTTACTGTAATAATACACTTTAGTTATTGATGATACCTTTAAAATCAGCTTTTTTTTTGTCTAATTGCAAGATTTGTCTAATTGCAAGATTTCTTTTTCATTTTCCTTCTAGAAGAGTAATAAGCACAAGAAAGGTATTTAACTAATTTCTACAGTAAAGTTTGCAGGCTGTGTCTATAATGCTGATAAAAACAGGAAAAGAAACAGGACCAAGTATACACTGAAAAGAAGAGCATACAGGTATATACAGGTAGTTTAATCAAGGTTAGTAAGAATGAAAATAAAAGCATTTAACTAGTATTGTTGTTACAGAAAAAAATAGTTTGGGTCAGAAAATTTCAACTAAATCTTTCTTGTCTTAGGATCTAAATATGTGGTTACATTTGAGATCACTACCCTTTCTGGAAGGAGGACTGGGCTTGTCCTCCTTTCAGGAGGACATGGATAAGAGCTCCATGCTGGCATAAGAGCTGAAACTGCCAGATGGCTCCAAGAGGGCAATTTCTAGAGGGTTTAGATTAGAGCAGGATTAGGGCCTGAGTAACCTGCARGAGGAGGAAAGAGTCTGGAAGGGTACCAAGAAGTGCACTAATGTGAACGCCAGCTGCAGCTACAGCGGGTTTGTAAATAGTTGTTTTAATTACAAATGATTTGGGTGTTCTTTCTAATTACTCAGCATGAGGTACAAGAAACGTGGTGGCACAGGTCAAGCTAAAGAGACTCATAGCATGACAAAACGTGTGATTAGCATAAAGACAAAGTAGAACTAAGARACAGAATCATGGAGCTTAATTTTTAGACAAAAATCCTGTACAGKAATGGAAGCATACACTAGAGAGCTGTCTATGGGGAATAAAAATGAGGAGGAAAAAAAAAAAAAAAGACAAAGCTTTTGGTACTGTCTTATTGGGAAAAAAATAAGATGTGATGCCATCCCTAGGAATAACATCTCAAACATGGTGACACTTGGGAGTGTCTGATGAATACTAAAGCCTATGAAAGACTGAGACTATAAAGAAAAAATTGATTTTGGTCTTAAAACGAAAGCCAGAAGTAGAAGAATGAATAGATTCATTACAAAATACACTGAAACAGGCTAAGGGAATCTAGCAGGCAAAACACAGACAGTAAAATAGTGAAGTGTGTCCCATAAAGGCCAGCACATAAATCAGGAGGAACAATAGCCCTTCTTTTAGAATGTTGCAAGGGGCTTGTGAAAYAGAGCTTCACTCTGCCTGGCACTGCCTGTACCATGGAAAGGTGTCAATGTGACCTGASTGGTTATAATAAAATCATAACGCCTCCAGTGTGAGCGCCGATGATCCAAACACTGCTCACGTGCTGCAGCAGACAGCACAGGACACAAGACTGATGAACGTGCAGCTATGCTTTTACACCAGCCAGTAAACCCCATGTGAAATAGCAGCAGTATTGACAGGGCACGTGTGCTGAAACTGCTCTGATATCTCAGAAACCTTGTKTTTAAAATGTCTCATCCCCTACAAGTCATCTTCTGTGTAAAAATAATTTGCTGCACTTCTTAATTGCTAAGCACAACTAGCACATGTCTGTTTGTGGAGTCCAACTTTACAGCTAATCTGTTTACATGGTTCTAATGCTACATGCCRGATATTGTGGGTTTTCTTTTTCATTTCTGTTTTTCTTATGTAGTAAATCATACATAATGAYTTTAAAAGAAGAATATTTAAATTATAAAGCCAAGTATTCCAAAGAAGGCCAAAATTTAACATTGCTTGTTTTAAAATCTTCAGAAGATCCAGGTGCTTTGAAGTGCACAGTTCTGCAGGAGTTTTGAAGTCTGATAAAAAAGGTGTTCATCACCTAGCATGTCAAGAACATGTCCCTGTTCCCCTGTACTTGGCACTGGTGAGGCCATACGTCRAATACTGTGTTCAGTTTGGGGTTACTCAGTACAAGAAAGACATGGAGGTGCTGGTGTCTGTTCAAAGGAGGACAAGGAAACAGGTGAAGGGCCTGGAGCACAGACCTTAYGAGGAGCCGCTGAGGGAGCTGCGGTTATTTAATCTGGAGCAGCCTCAGGGGAGACCTTATTGCTCTATAAAGCTACCTGGAAGGATGTTGTAGCGAGGTGGGAGTTGATCTCCAGAATAACTACCAAGAGGAAATGTCCTCAAGTTGTGCCAGAGGAGGTTCAGGGTGGATATTAGGAAAAATTCCTACATGGAAAGAATAGCCAAGCATTGGAACAGGCTGCCCAGGGAAGTGGTGGARTCACTGTCCCTGGCAGTGTTCASGAAAGGTGCAGATGAGGCTCTTGGGGGCATGGTTTGGCTGGGATGGGCTTGAAGGGTTTGCAGTTGGACTCGATGATCCCGCTCTTTTCCAGCTCTGGTGATTCTGTGATCCGTGTATGGGCCTCTCTGAGCAAGTCATTATTGATGACAAACGTGTGGAGCAGGAGGAGCCTGTGGTGGCTCAGAGCAGACTGTGCATCTTCCCATTGCTATGGGAAAGCATCGGGCAACCGAGCAGAGGTTGTGACAGGATGGATGGATTAGTGTAAATAAAAGACTTACAACAAGTGGGTCAGTAGACAGGAATAACTATGGTGCAATTCATCCATTCTTGAGGAATGTGCCCCTTGTGATCAGTGGGGCATTTTGTGAGAAATGACCTGCTTTCCACCCCTGTCCCCTCTCCATACCTCCTCTTTCCCCAGCTTTCCCGTTCTCCCCCCAAGGCTTCTCCAAGGCCATGGCGGCTCTGTCCTGCAGACGCCGAGGCCGGCCCGTGCCAAGAGCGCCAGGAGGGGCTGGCGCTGCCCGCGCCGCCGGCCCGGCCCTCGCAGC